TTAATGCTTTATACAATTACAATTCTAGCACCAGTTGACCCTAGATATCAGATGCAAAAATCATGTTATTCTGATTAGCACCTTGCTTCACACACACCCCCCTTCTCATCAATTCAGATGTGATTTTTAGAAACTAACATTGCATGAAAAAACTAAAGATGTTCTGAGACGATGTATAATTTGACAGCTGGGTTTCCACGTTTCCAGGTGGCTGCAAGCATCACGTTTTGGTGAGTATAAGGTCCTAACATCCCATCAACAGCAAAAAGGGGCAAAGGCAGGACTGTTAGAAAATCAACAATTTTATGCTTTGATCTGCTGGGGAAATAAAATGCTCTGGCAGAAAAGGCTACGAATAAATCCGAATTTGTACACTGTGCCAAGAACTGATCCTGACTCAATGGATCAGAAATACAATGCCAGTGCTTGAACATACATTATCAGGAATGAAACACCACAAAACTTAATGCCCACTAAAAATGATGTTTGTTTCCAGATCAGCTTTAAAGGAAAGGAGCTGAACCTCTATGAAGTGGGAGTGAAGTGGTATGAAGCAGAAGGCAGAAAAAATGAAGCAAGAATTGAGGAGGAAGTTTGACTCCATAAAAGCTACCCCTCTCCCCATAAAAAATCTCTACTAGGAAGAGACTCTGATGTCTTCTCCCTCATATTCTTCTGAAATACCCCAGCACAATTACAGTATAAGAGAGGAAGGATGATCTCATGCAAATGTAACGGCCTATGAACAGTACAGAATACAAAAGCAATGTTTTCTTCAGTCTTCCAGTCAGAGAAACAGGGATAGACTACCTGTAACTTCAAAAAAGTCAGAAAAAGAAAGCAATTGACATAAAGCAGTTACTTAAAAAAAAAATAAATCATTCTTTAAAATGAGTTAATAATAAGAGGCAGCAAGTACAGGTCGAAATTCATTCCAAGAAGCTCAGAAATAAGGTTACCATGGCACATGTAGGATTCAAACTTCACTTTTCTTTGTTTTAATTATGGAGAATGATACATGTTCTTAAAGCATCAGGTCCCAGAGCTCTCAACATTACCACAAAATGTAATAGTGATTATTATTAGCTGTAGAAAAGTATCTGGGCTTTCTCAATTGGCCTAGTTTCAGCACAGTACTGTTTTGCTTCAAATGCAATCAACAAATTCTATGAAGTTGATGTATTATTGCAAAATGTATGTTCTTTTACATTAAAGCACAAGAAATAAAGCATGACCATCATGTTTTGCAACTAATTTATTTTTTTCTGCTTTTTTTTTAATCTGTCTTACAAGTTTACCATGACATTTTAGTGACAACAGCACTAAAATAACTCCAAAAACAAAAAGGGGTCTAATTAAAAATAGGCAGACAGTGAACATCATGATACATTGGCATAAAATTATCCCTTCAGTGTTCTTTGTAAAAATACTGCTAAAAACCCAACATTTGCCATGGCAATACTCAGCCAGATTGTTTTATAAAATATGTAATTTTATATGCAGATCCTCACAGCGCAAGCATTTGGAATCTGCACCAGATCATTTCGTTAGTGCACGCTGCCTGAAATGAGGCACGGCATATTTAAGGCAAGAAAATATTTTCTGCTTTCTTGGAACAAAACCTGTACCACTGAACTGAACTTTCAGCTGACACAAATTACAGATCTTGAAAATCTATTTGCCTTCCTCCCTTTCCCCCACAACTTCAGAAATCATTCAGAGAGCTGTTTCAGCATTTCTTACTATTGAGTACATATGGTGGAAACGGCTCCTCTCAGGCTGGACAGGACTTTTTGCTCTTAGCGAGTCTTTGGCAAGGATAACTAAGGCATCGCACAAGACTGTATACTCTGAACACAGCAGCACCAGTTCTAGAGCAAGCGGAAATAAGAAGTTAGTTACATGTGCAGAACTGGAGGACTTTTGAGAAGGAGGTTAGCAACACCTACTGGTCATGGTGCATACTGAACACTGTTCTTTTTTTTTAAACAAATGAACAATAAAAAAAAGCTTTTTCTTACCAAAGCACCTAGCTAAAATTACCTGTGAAGTCAGTTTGTCACCAGAGACAGTACTTCTAACTAGATCAACCGATAAAATTAAAAGATACTACTTCTCCCAATAAACCTTGTTCTGCTCATACCCGTAAGACCGTAATGGCTATGTCATTGCTAAAATATATCAGCACTAGTAATTTCTGAATCATATCAGTAAATAAATATTCATAACACGAGCTGAGCTCTAGGCTTCAACATAAAATGGGACATAATAAGTCTTCCTGACAGTTCCTTTAAGTGACTGAAAAATTCACATTATATATCGTAACGCACATGAAGCCTTCCTTCATTACTGCCTAATTATCTTTATTGCCCACTGAAAACAGCTCAAATGTAAGGAACTGCACAATCTTTGCAGCAGCATAGGGTTTTTTCCCTACTGAATAAAGATCTGCAAACTATTCAAACTGCTTCTGCAATCCTTCAGTATTTTTACGATGCGTTCCTTTCATCTGCAAAATGAAAAGTTTTTCTTCCGAATTGTACTTGGAGTAAAATACAACAAAAGATATACAACAGAGTTTGTTGATTCACCCTGCCCCTTTCAAAAAAGCCCCACACACAGGGCACAAAATTACAAATAGCATTTTCAGTAAACGTTTAATTAAAATGTCCTCAGCTGTAAGTATTTTAAATCAACTATAACAAACCTGCATTCAGCAGCTGTATTTAATGCTTGCTTTAAATTTCCATTAAAAAAATATTGTATTCATTTTTTGAAGTTGTGTCTATGGGTCCTCTGATACACTAGCCTTAGGCATTAGAAGTTTTCCTGGTTCTCATCCAACTTTGGAAATAATATCTTCTTGCTTCGGGTGTTAAAAGGATTCATACATTATTTATAAGGACTGCTAAAATCTAACTCCTGGATCTAACTTGCAAGAGAAAGAGTATAAAAAGTTACATACAAAAAAAGCACACAACTGTCCCCATTTCAATTTTTAGCCTCTCTCTGTCATGTATCGCCAGACTGAGTCTGTAATACTCTCATCTCTCACTCCCCATGTTCAGATACTTGTCTACAGCCGCTTTGAGCCTTGTTGAATTTGATCTTTCTTGCATATTTTTAAAGTATGATTTTCCAAGTTTAAAACCAAAACACCAAAACACCAAACAACCCTACCCAAAATGCAAAACTGCTGGGTAACTTGTTACATTTCAAAGATGCTGGATTTCTCTGACAGAACGGTGTTTGTTTACCTCCTGAAAAATCTGGCTAAAGTGTTTCAAGAGAGTAGCCAGGACAGGGTAGCTAAAACCCCTGTTCACTCCTCAAAGTCCTTCTCCTCTATACTTTTCTCTTTCTGATGTTGTCTACGTATATGGTATTTACATTTTTTGTCTCTTCCTGGTTTAAGAGAGCTCATTGTTATTTTAAAAACAACCCTTCTAACAAACTTCATGAGGGGGAGATTTTAATACCTTCTTATCAATCCAATAAAATATTTCTGCAGTTTCACTGACACCCAGCAGTTTCACTTCCTGGGTTATATTAAGGCAAGAGACATTAAAATGCTATTGATCTGTAAAAGAACTATGTATTCTATGCAATTAAAGCAAACAGAAAAGTCAGGTCTACAGAGCTTCAGAAATACTCACCAGCATGAGTAAGTTCTCACATTGCTACTGGAAATGGCATATTTGTTCTGAACACACTAAACCCATTGTATCTGATAGCCCTTTACACTTCAGATACCTGTTTCTGACCATAATTTCACTTAATCTAAGTGGAGCAGTTTGTAACTAGCTGAATATGATCTATGAAAGACTGAACCTACACTTACTACAGCTTACTAAACTGAAAAACTGCCCCATGAGACATTTTTACCAGCACAGCAATGGATTTCATTCACCCAAAAAGGTGATGTCATTTATGTTCATCTTTACACCGGGAAGAATTTTGACACATATTTCCACATGCAGACTTTGAGACCTTAGTTCTTAAAAAAGAACAATACACATAATAGAGCATGGTATCCATTCTGTCCTCACGGAAAATTATAAATTAAATAAGTATCTTGTGAGGATTGTACCTGTTCCTTACACTCTTTTGGATAACAGAGTTCTTCTGTCTGGGATTTCTGTACCCGGTCCACAAGCTTACATATGTTTATTTCCCCACGAAGTATAGTCACGTGATGTTCACTATTCAAAGGTAAAATTAGACTAAGTTGGGTTTCTCAAAGGTTTATCTTATTAGCAATTGAGTCTCGTGTAGCTGAAAAAGGGAAAAAAAGTATTTTGCTTTTTCCACTGCTCCTGTTAAAATTCTCAGGCTTAATGCAGCTCGTAGCATCTGTATAGCTGGTTTCACTGTTACAGTGATCCTCAGCCCCTGCCTCTGTGGGACAAGGAAGGGAAGGAGAACAGTTGGAACAGCAATGATGAAATCCTAATCAACATTAGCAAAGAGAATTAAAAGCAAGCACCGTGCCTCTAAACGACCCTTATTTTAAATCTGAATTCATGTTAAATGGAAGAGGCTTTCTGTTGGTTTTGTTGTTGTTTTATGTTGAATTTGTTCAAAGGAAGAAGAAACAGCTATCAGGAGCTGGGAACGCTGTGCCAGTGTCGCCAGCCTTCCTTCTACCTTTACCAAATTATGTAAGCTCTTGCAGTATAAATGAGGGAGGCTAACACATAAAAGGTAATGTAAAGCATTCATTTCTATTGTTATCTGAAAACTGAAAATTTACATGCAGTATAGAAATGTGTATTAACACAGTATATTTTGACACCAGTTAATCTTGGGAGGAGAGTAAAAGAGTGGAAAATACACTTGCCACAGCACTGCTACTTGTTTTGAAACCATGCTTGTGTAACACCCAGCGGATCCTTCCTGAGCGACTGCTGTGGGACAGCACAACCCCAACTGCTCCAGGGTGCAAACAAACACGCAAACACACGGGGACCAAAACTTAAAGCAAAGGATTAATTTCGCACCTTCTTGAGAGGAGACAATAGGAGGCATATAATCAGGGATGTACTCCTTCCTTTCTTCCGCATCTTTACTTCCCGGCTGGGGAAACTGCAGGACATTGTTCTTGCTGACGGGAAACGAAGGGATTTGGTGTGCGAATGTGACAGGTTCAATATTGTGTATATAATCTTCTAGCTCATGCAGGTTAACCCCCATAAGCTTGAAGGCATCACCTACATCGTCCAAAATTGGATCTGTGCGGCCATCTGTGATAAAAAAACACAAACAAACAACAAAAACACAATATTTTTGCAAGAATCTGGTTTAAAAAAAAATTGACCTGCAGATCTAGGCTTAGAGATTACAATCCGCCACGGCTCGCCACCGGTAACAGAGATTACTGCCCCACAGTTCTGCTAGGTTTACTGTTCATCGGGCTGTACAACGTCTCAGGCTAAGAACACTCTCATTTAAAAGTGTTTTATTTTGATCTGTATCACTCTGTTTCAATCCGTACCATTAAAGACCTGCACCTCAAGAAGCACTTCAAGCAAAACCGATGAGAGCAGAACAGGGCAGCTTTACCTGACAACAGTCAATTAACACCACGCGACACCACTTAAAATAGTCTTCAGTTTCATAAAATAAATTCACATGAACAAAACAAGCCCTCAATATGTAGAAAGTGCCCCTTTACCAGTATGTCACAGACCGAATATTAGTTTTCAACCTAGAAAAGGAACAATTTAATTTTGTTGAAGCGACTGTAGTTTATGGGCAGCAAAAAAAAAGAAGGTATCTCTTGTATCTCTTGATAACAAAAATATTTCACCTAGTATCTTTCCACCAGATGAAATCTATAGGTTTCATAATCTATGAGTCACTTTACCTACCGGTTAGATATACCTCCCAGATGAAACACAGGAATATTAAGTAATGGTCTGACGAGGAAAGAATATTTTATACCAAACTTCAGGGGCTGATTTCCTGGGGGGAATTTAAGTTTACCTCTACAGCAAAAATCTTATTTTCTTTATGAAAAGCATAGTGAAACCTTACTGGCCAAGCAGCCCCGATCTTTATTTAATGACCTCCAAGAAAACAGTCCAAGAGAAGATGCAGTTTATTCTATACATGTAATTTGGCTCAAAGATTTAAACCATACAGTGCTGAAGTCCTCCAAGTGCCTCGGTTTCCCTGACTTGACAGAGGGAAATCCCTCTGCAAGCCTCCCGAGGGAGAACTGGACACCTGGCTTTGGTAGCCAAAGCACCACTTTGAATCTCATCCTAACTCTTCATAGTAACAGTAACACACACACACAAAAAAAAGCCTTAAACTACAAACATGATTATTATTATTATTTTTTAAATTCAATAAAATTACACTGAATTATAAAACTTCTGTATAGTTGGCTTATGAAGATATTACATCCTTACATGATGATAAGCTGTGATTTACTTTAAAAAGTAATTATGGAAAACCAGCCCGTGCTCATTGAAGGAACACAATCGCTATTGTGAAGCCCCAGCTTTGGAGAACGGGGGGGATGCTCTTTTGTTTGTCCTTTAACCTAATCTCTTCTTGGTTTATCTTGAAGCCGAAGCAGTTGAGCAGGCTGGTTCTCACATCACTGGATGAATTCAAACCCCTAGCCAACTTATGCCTTCAGGTACATTTAGAAAATAAGAATTTTGTTCTAGAATTTCTCTTCTTAGTCTTGCGGTGAAGATAAGGGTAATACTCAGATTATGGTTTTGATTCTCAGCTCTGTAACACTGGCCTCTTGTGTGACTCTGGGCAAGTTGCTTGTGTTTTAATTCTCTCCACAGCTAAAAGGGAGATCAGACCAAGTTATCGCCTCTTTTGTCCGTCTGTATTTAGAACGTGAACTCCGCACAACAAGAACCATCTCGGATTTTGTGTTTGTATAATATCTAGTACAAGTTTCTCCTTCAGACTTTAGGGACGGAGAAACGTGGAGGCTTACATAAGCATAATTAAAGGAGAATTTCACCACTCTGGAGTGGTTATGAGATCCCTATAATTATTAGGCAGGCAGAAGAGTGTTTTATCCTTAAAAAATTAAGTTTAGATAATTGACACAGCTAAGAAATTTTGCACTGTCACTTTAATTGCTCTTCGGACTATGAAGATACCTTTGAACTTAATCATTTTCTAAGGTGTCAAGACTTAACAGGTACAAGTTGAAAAGGAAAACTTGGGGAAAACTTTTCAACAAGCCCAGAAGTGAAGCGTACTCATTCCCCCAACATTCCTGAATCACTGGCTATGCTGTTTGCAGGATGGGGGGAGATCCATGGTGAGCCTCGCAGCACTCACTCCCAGGTGGGCACTGCCGAGACCTGGAACGGGTACTGACAGGCACAGACACAGACCGTGCTTCTGTCCAGTTTCCCTTGAAAGAAAAACGAAGTGTGCAGGCAGGGAAATGCTGCAATAGGTTCTCCAGCTGGACAACCTGGAACAGGACAGCAAGAGGCACCCCAATACTGGGGCGTGCTCAGTGTGCAGCCCCTGGCACCAGCACGGTCACGTACTCAGGGTGAAAGTTGAGTCCAGTTTATCACTGCAATAGGAAAAGGTCTTTTCCTAGATCTGCACATGATCTTTTTAACCTCCAAAAAAGTGTACTGACGTGATTAGCAAGTGATAAATGCTAAAAAGGACTCCTTCCTACAAGTGCTTATTAAGAACATGTGGCAGAGAAGCAACTACTAAGTGTAACTGAAGCATAGAAATACTTAGGCACCCATATCAAAAAACAATTATGTGTGTTATAAAGCAGGTTCAAAAGGTGATCAAAAAAACCTGAAGAAGAGTCAATTTTCCTGTATCTTTGACATTTGACTCCAAACAGTAAATGTCGAGTCATAAGATTGATTAAAAGCTAAATAAAAATGTCAAACGTGCAGCTGTCAGAGGAATGAAATGACTGTCTTTTCAAGACAGAGTGTCATCAGTGGTAAAAGTGTACAAAAAAAAGTTTCAGGTCTGTATTCATATCCGTATTTAAATCAAAACAGCTATCAACTGCAAATATACACAGCACAAAAATGTATTAAATCAAATTTCGGGTGATTCATCAAATGAAGGCTTTATACCTTTACTTGAACAGTTTAGCATTCCTCTTCTCTCTCTGGTTTAATAAAAATTCACTAAAATAGCAGAAGTCAGACACATGAAAAGGAATGCTGACAAACATGTAACACACTCTCTCCTGGTCTTTCATTTAGTCTTAAGGCTTTTTTCTCTCTAAGTAAATGATGAAAAAAAAAGAGTTGAATTTGTGCATACCGAATTTGTCTCAATATACTTCAGATATCTGTGCTATCCTCAGTTTAAAAATTCAGATGCTGAAGCTTCCCAGGGAAATAATTAATCCAATGTCACACAAGTCAGTGCCAGATCAAAAACAGCTTTGGAGCTTTTGGTTTCCAAGCCTCTTGCTGGGCCCTATACCATGACACTTCAAATACTATCTGTTGCCCAGGATTGGGAAAAGATGGAAGGAGATGGGAATAGTTCATCCAGCAAGTTACAACTCTCCTCCTTACCCTGCGAACAGCGAGCTAATAAAAATATCTTCCTCACGAGTTTTTAAGCTGTACTATCTCCCTGACTGGGAGCTGTGCTCCGAAACTGATATAGCTGTGGAAAACAGCAGAGTTAAATTAAGACCATTCAGTCTCAAAACAGAAACCTGTGGGAAAGACCCTGCAGTTATGTTACACTCAGCTTCCCTATGCATGAGGACGAACACTGGGAGGAGGAATGTGCACACAGAAATGGATCCCGAAAAAACATACAGCACCGAAGCAACGGCGAAACAGAATCCACACAGAGCTGAATATTTGGATGAAAAGTTATCCAACCTTCAACCCTGCTGCTCAGTGCCACCTGCAGATAAACCTAGCTGTCCACAAGGAAAAACAAATCAAACGGAATGACGGCAGCACGGTAACTCCTCTTCAAGCAATAAAAGCTCTCTTTCGTTTTGTGGGGAAAAGGAATTTTTAGAAGCTACTAAAGCCTAGTTATCTTTGTAAATGTCACAAGAAATCGTCCAGCAAACAAGCTGACCAATGCTCACATCATCCAAAGAAACCACGTGGGGGTTTGGGAAAAACTATCTTTTCTAAAATGCAGTTTCAGGAATAGCCGATTTACTTTCGTCAAACTCACTCCCATCACCTCCTCCTTCCTGGCCCAAAGTTCATATGGATCAGTGAAAATTTAACAAGCAAGCAAGTACAGAAGAGCTTTTAGTTTCATGTCAGGTTTTTTAAAGGGAGCAACTACAGCTCTGTAATAATTATACTGAGAAAAATTAATGAGTCACTACCCATGCAACATGCACAGTCTATTATAAATAGCTCAGCATTCACCCTCGTGGCTGCTATAAAGAGAGATGTAAAAAAATATTTTATTTTAACCAGCAATTAGGTATAGCTTCTCAGTATTTTTATTACAGGCTCTATCACAGATTCCTTGTGCTCCAGCACATCATGCAACCCTGCCACGCATTCAGTACCTGTGGATCTACACTGAATAGTTACCCCAGGGTAACTCTTTCAAACAGACATTGCTTCCATCCAGCACCCACAAAAACAGTCAGAGGCATACACAGTAGATTATTTAATAAGTATATATGCCTTATTTGAGTACACTTAAGTTGGGAAAAAGGATCCTATTAATGTAGTTAACAGATAGGCAAAAGCATCTTCTTGGTAGTGCTGCTCAGTCTGCTCCTTTTCCTGGTAACGTCATAAATGTCAAGCAAAACCCAAGTTGTCCTTTACTGGTAGCCAGCAAGAAGTTGATTAGCTTAAAAACATCAACATTTATGGTTATCAGGACATAAAGAGGTACCCTTCTTATAACAAATGTCATAGATACTTGTTACAACAGTCATTCAGCATCAGTACGGGGAATCCGCTCATTTAACTGATAATCGAAATCTAATACTTTGATAGCGATTATTGCTGCATACCGATGAGTGAAGTTAACTAAAAAAAAGAGAACAAAACAAAACAAAAAAAGTGTATGTGGTAAATCTGACGTTTAATTAGAAAGAAATATAAATTTGATTGATGCCAGGTCAATTCCTAATGAAAACATTAGTCTGCTGTTTGCATTCTCCAAAGCAGAGATCTGCTGTAACAAAGTTAGGTTTTCCTGTACAGGAGATTGTGCAGTGACATTGGAGGTTTTGAGCCAGTCCTATCTTGGAATAGTTTTTTGT